AAGGGTGGTGAGACTTTATCTTACATGCTCTGAATATATTTTTAGGAGGTACCTATCCCTCAAGAAGGACATTATGCTTGGTAAAGCAGTAGTGGTTGTTGTTATGTATCAAGTCAGAACCAACTAGCTGGCTGTCTAGTGAGTTTTAAGAAGCAATAAATACATAAATTACCCAGGAAGAAATGGCCCATTTTTCTCTCACAGAGCAGATGGTGGATTCAAACCATGGACCTTTGGGTTGACAGTGCAGCTCTTTAGCAGTAGGCAACCAGAGCTCCCTTTATACAGTAGTATATGTATGTTGTTGTTGTTGTTATTGTTGATTGCCATTGAGTCAAGAACAACTTATAGCAGCCCTATGAACAAAAGGCCTGTAGCCTTTCTGTAACTATCATCATTTATCAAAGTTCATAGAGTTTCCAGAGGCATGTTGTTTAGGAAGTGGATGCCACTCCTGCTTCTAAAAGTGTATGTATAGAACTGTTAATACAAACACATTCATTTACTGGAGCCAAATTTTAAAAATGTACTTATTTTTGAGAATACTTAATCACGAAAATTGGACACCACTAGACTGACAAGAGTCTAAGCACTGATTCAGTGCCTAGTTTGAAGGGTGTTGTTGTATGAGTCGTCCACAACTCGACGGCACTTATCAATAACACCAATATAGAGAGCTCTATGGGCCTGGTGGATAGAAAGCTATGCTACCAAGTCAAAGTTGGGTGATTTTAGTCTGCCGCCCTCAGGCCTTATTTTAATTGTTTTTGGTCAAACATTCTTCTAAGTGGTACAGCAGTGGTCTGTCCATTTGCTGTATGGAGGTTGCTGTGATGCTAAGCAACTGATACTTATGTGTCAATTGCGATAATGGCTATTCATGGCGGACAGTGTTTGGTGGAGCTCCCGGATTAAAACAAGCTTGGAAGCAGAAGTGGCATCCACTTCCAAAATAGCTTGCCTCCGAAATAACTTGCTTCTGGAAAATCTATGAACTTGGAGAAATGGTGAAAGTTATACAAGTGTCCAGGTCTTTCGTTCATAATGTAGCTATGAGTTGTCTACAACTCAATGGCACTTAACAATATAATAGCACTTTGAAGGGTGAGTTGTGAGGAGTCTTTCCACTTTGGTTTCTCACCTGTAAGATGAAGGACTCAGTGTCAAGGTCCCTGATGTCTTCTCCATCCCTAAAAGTCTATGAATGCTTTTCCCCTTGCTTTTCCTATTAGACTTATTACGTAGTTCAAATAGCAGAAGGTGATCTTTTTCTGTTCAGTACTGAAGTTGAACACAGAGGTGAGTCTATTTCTGTGTTCCTGGCTTGTTTCCAGAGTGCTGGCTGTACTTTGGCTCCATCCATTCCCCATGGACCAGCTGCTGCTGGTCCTTGATATGGTGATGTCACACAGCGGGATATTAATTTTAAATCTGCTGACTGTTGTTTGACTTCATTAGTACCTTGGGATTCTGGAAGTTTGAAGAGTTAAGTTGGGTACCTAAAGGATATTTGAAATCATTTTAACATGTCTGTGCACATATACTTTATTATCTACTCAGAAACTGAGCTACTAAAAGATTATTTTCAAAACTGAGCTACAATTAAATACTTTAGTGATTAGCAAAGCCTCACTTAGCTCATTAAGTCCAAGTAAATGTCAAATGTGTATATCTATTAATTCCTTTAAAAAAGTATTCAGCTTTAAAATTTTAAAAAGGAAGATGTTGACCTTCAGCGTTGCTGGGTTATAATAAAAGAGACAATTGAAAGTTAGTCTTCAAATAAGCAATTGGATTATCAGAGTCCATTCTTTTAAACATTGCCTTAGTTTGGTTTCATTTTATTTGCTGGTTAATGAAATAATACATATAAATGTAAAATAGTGCAATAAATCTTTACCATAAAATTAAACTATTGAAGCTTGGTGCTGTGGTTTAAGCTATTAAAACCTATGAGGATGGAATACCCACATCTGACTTGTTCTGTACAATAATTACATTAATTTTAATGTTTCTATTAAAAGAAAAAAAGAAACATCAACACAACAAAAAGAATGACAATTCAACTGTTTTGATTAACATTAAATTGGAAAATGTGAGCTCTTAAGACTTTGCAGACACTGAGAATGAAAGTCAACAGGAAAGAGCGAAACCAAAAAAACAGGATGAGTGTTCTAGAATGTGTGTGTGTAGGGGGGGGGGGAAATGAAGTTGCCATCTCTGTAATCTTACTTTATTTTGTATAATAAGGAAAACGCCACTTTAAACTTAGACCTGTGTGAGCACGGCATGTACTCTGTGACCTGCTAGGAGTATAGGATGCAGTCTCTTTGCTGCTGCTGAAACAGCCAGACAGGACCAAATTTCATGAAGGCTTCCAGTTGGGAACTAATCCACAGCTTCCATTCAAGGTTCTAACCTTTAGCTTTAATGCTGATGAGAAATTAAGAGCTAGGCGTTCCCGGGAGGATGGGGATAGATAGTGTTCAAGGAGGAGATTTGTCACTTACTTTACTCTAGTCAGAAATTTAAAACAATGTCCACCCTGACATCTCTCTGCCCACAGCTCTTGTGAGCTCCATGCTGATGTTTGTTGCCTGTTAGGAGGATAGGTTTCCCTGCAATGCGTGTGTCCGTTTTGTAAGAACTGGCCCATAGCTGACCTTCCAGTGGGTTTTCAGAGGCAGTAAATCACACAGAAGGAGACTGGAGAAAGAGAGAGAGAGAGGAAAAGGGGGAGAGAGAGAGAAAACAGCCTTCCTTTTTTTTTTTTAAATTTTGGTAACTTTTTTTCCCATAGACCATAGAGTCAGAACTGACCCATCGATGACCTTCTGGCGGTTTTTCAGATGCAGTTAATCACATGGAAAAAAATTGCCCATCTTTCTCCCATGGAGCGGTTGGTTGCCTTAAACTGCTTGCCTTTGGGATTGCAGCGCAGTTTCTTACCACTAGGCCACCATTGTTTTATATCATTAATTTTAATTGGTTAATGCAGTTAATTGCAATGTCTCATCAAACAGCCTTTTCCTTGTACATTGCCTTCATCAGTCTGTTCATTCATCCTTGCTCTTCCTCCATTCATTCTCATCCCTGTTAACCCTCCAAGATTAATTCTATCAGTGTGTAAACCTTCCCTTCACCTTTTTTAGTAATCAATCCCACATCACCCATTCATTCCACACTGTCCTTCCCTTTACCTATTCCAATAGAGTGGTCATTGTCTATCCATGAATTTTCTACTCCTTCCACTCATGATACCAGATTGATCCTCTGCATTATGTAATTTTTTTCTCTAGTTGTTTTTATGTAACAATGATCTTATCCAGTGTCCACCCATCCACTCAACATAATGTTCCTCTAGACTCATCCACATTGTGTAGTGTTTCACGAGTTCTTCATTGCTTTTAAAATGATTTTTCTAAGTTTAAAACATAAGTTTAGATGACGTGCATTTGTTTCTTTCGGCTGAGCAATTGCATCTTCTGTGTCACACCCCTCACAATCTTCATTTCCTCTTCAAAATTCCCTTAGGCAAAGGACTTTTATCTTTTAACCTCACACATTTTATTCTAGAACAGTTCAGATTTGTGGAGAAGTTATTAGCGTAGTGTGTAGAGCTCCTGTTCAGACATGTCTTCCCTATGAACTTCAGACTCTTTCCTGCTGCATAGGACTCCCACATAGAGACCAGGGACAACCCAGAAACATCTGGAGTTTATGCAAAATTCTACATGTTTGTGTAAAAATGCATTGTTTCTTTTAGAGAAATCAAGAATTCTGTAGATTTGATCACTGCTCACATGTGTCTCGTTTCAATAGTAATTTTGTTGTTTATTAGAACACTGTTCTCAGTTGACATTGACCCATGACAATCCATGTGTTATGGAGTCAAGCTGCTCCAAAAGATTTTCTCTGTGATGGCTGCCTACATAGTTGCCTGGCCTTTGTTCCAGAACTGCTGGGTGGGTCTGAACTGCTAAACTTCTGTTATTTTCTTCTACAGCAGAAGAAGCAGAAGAGCAAGGGCTCTTTACCACATCCAGTGTCATGTGCTTATGTAACTTAGATTAACTCTGTCTTTTGTAAACTCTTTGTTCCTTTGAAGAGTCAATCTGACTATAGCAAATCTATGTCTCAGTGGGCACATATTTTAATCTTCTGCATAAAAACCAACAGGATTCTCTGAGAAACAGCAGATTCTTGAACACTTATTTAGAAACCAATAAATCAGTCTATAGTCTTATAAATACCTCAGGTGAATTTCCATGTTCAGTATATTAGAAACATTTATGCAGACTGTCTAAACCCTGCACATTAGCAAGTTTATTAGCAACAGGGATATTTGAGACTTACAAAAATATTGCTCTTTTCCCTGAAGACTTTGAGGAGGAAAGAAAAACCCACAAAATTTCTATAGCCCTCTTTTCCTTTTATGCCTATATTATTGTTGTTGTTGAGTACTGTGGAGTCAGTACAGACCCACAGCTGACTTTCCAGTGGGTTTTCAGAGGCAGTAAATCGCATGAGAGGAGATTGCCTGTCTTTCTCCTGTGGAGCAGCTGGTGAATATGAACCGTGTGCGTTTGAATTGGCAGCAAAATCCTTACCACCAAGCCGCCAGATCTCCCTTTATGACTATATAAAAGGTCAGCAAAACGGAGGAGGACTCTCCACAAGATGCACTGACATAGTGGCTCCAACAGTGGATGGACTCAAGCCCCGCAGTGTCTGTGAGCATGAGGAAGGTCGGGCGAGTGCTTCCCTCCATTGTGTTGAATATGGCTTCACCGAGTTGCAGCTGACTCAAAGGCACCCAGTGACAATGTCAGTGTAAAATTTAAGGTCTTTCTGACTCTCTTTTAATTCTAAAGACAAAAGAGAATTATCTCAGTAGGACTAGGATTCTGTGAAACCGCTCTCATGTAAAACCTTCCTTTTATCAATATTTTGATTAAATACATTTTTTGTGTTGTCTAATGAGTGGGGTTTTGTTTCAGTCTTACAGATTCCAGTCTGCTGCTGGAAGATTATTCATCCAGCCTGAGCCCCAAAACAAAACGAGCCAAGAAGAGCCTCCTTTCTGGAGATGAGAAGGAGAACCTGCCCGGCGACTACATGGTGCCGATCTTCTCAGGACGGTGAGCTGCTTCTCTTGTGGTGGGGTTCCCTGGGAGAGAGGTGTGCATGTTGTCGGAGGAGATGGTGATGATAAATAAAAAGAATAGCATTTATCGAGCACTTGGTATGCACTGGGTCCTATGCTACACATTGTGTCTGAGGAAGAAGAGGGAAACATAGTATGATTTGTAAAATTAGCTGACGCTGAAAGTGGAGCATTCAGAAAGGACACTAAATGGAAGGGAGAAAGGAAGAGCTGAAACTATAAAATGGTGAATCAATTGGGGGAAAACATAAATCTAGTGTTTTAAGTAGCCAGAAAAGTCATTGGGTGTAAATGTAATAAAAAGATAAAAAAATATTTCTATAACATGCTGTTGTTGTTACATACTGTTGACTGAGCACTGACTCATAGCTGGCCTTCCAGTGGGTTTTCAGAGGCAGTAAATCACAAGTGAGGAGACTGCCCATCCTTCTTCTGAGAAGCAGATGGTGGATTCAAACTATGTGCCTTTGGGATTGCAGTGAAATTTTGTACTGGTAGACCCCCAGAGCTCTGTTTATATAACATAGACTATGCAAACCAATGATGTAATAATTCAGTTGCCTAGCTTGTATTTATTTCCTGAGAAGAGATTATTTGTTTGGAGACAAACTTCAAAGAAAATAATAAACCACAGTTTTATGAAATGCCAATTTTCTAGGTTTATGGTGTAACTCTTTTTCAGAATAAAAAAGTATTAAAAAAATAAAAATTAATCCTTTTTTAAAACTTGTTATTTTAATGAACATTTACAAAAAAATTGGATATTCATTTATTGTTGTGCATTTTCATCCCTACCTGCTGCAGTTCACTTTGTTTATTTTTTTCCTTGTGTGAGTGAGTTGTCAAATCTGATCCGACTGGCACAGGAGATTGCACCTCCTTCTCCAGTGGAGCATCTGGTCGATTTGAACTGTGAGCTTTCGGGATTGCAGCACAACTTCTTGCCACTAGGCTACCAGAGCTCCCTTTGCAGTTCACTTGAAAAAAAAATCATCCATTGTTGTACAATTTCTTCCCTCCCCTTTATACCTTCTCCCAGCCCACTTTGCTATACACCTCTTATTCTTGACTGTTGTCATACAAATAATGTCTAATCGTATATTCCTTCAACCAGTTCTTTCCGTCATTTCTTCCAATACAGTGTTTATTTATCCCCTCTTTCCTTAATTTGCCCCTAACCCCCATGTCAGTCCTGTTTTATAACAGTGGCATTATTCAATAGTTGTCCTTTTGTGACTGAAATATTTCACTCATCATAATGTCCTCCAGGGTCACCTATGTTGTGTAATATTTTATGAGCTCCTGGTTTTTAGTGCTGTGTAGTATTCCATTGTGTGAATATACCATAGTTTTCTATCCATTCATTTTTTGATGGGCACTTGTATTGCTTCTATCTCTTTGCTATTGTGAATAATGCAGCAGGAAACATGAATATGCATCTATCTGTATATCTGTTTGGGGGGCAGCTCTGGATTCTTTGGGATATATTACCAGTAGTAGAATTGTTGGGTCAAATGGTATTTCTATTTCCAACTTTTTGAGAAAGTGCCATACTGCCTTCCATAGTGGTTGCACCATTTTTCACTCCCACCAACTATGCGTAAGGGTTCCAGTGTCTCCACAATCCCATCAGCATTTGTTGTTTGCTGCTGTTGAACTTTGCTATTGTTAAAAATGAATCTTGAAAGTAAACTTGTCAGAGTTGGCAAGATTAAAGTTTAATAGGACTTTTTAGGCCATCCCTCTCTAGTTTCTTATCCTCTGATTGGAGAATTATTCACACAGCTAAGAGGACACTCAGAGAGTGAGGCTATCCTTCCAGAGCAAGTGCTCCCAGGCAATGCCATTACAGTGAGGGAAATGATGAGAAACGCCATAAACAAAATCAACTCAGCACAGAAAAATAAGTGAAACTAGGAAATCCACAACAACACAACATAAAAATTAGTGAAGCCCAGAGAACTGCAGAACATGGTGCTTCTGGGAACATTCTGGGAACGAGCAAATCAAGTCAGTCACAAAGGACCGTGAAGGAATAAGACCACCATTACAAAACAACTAAGGAAAGGTTTGCAGAAAAACTGAATTAATTTGTTTAGTTATCAGGAATGGGGAGAGAGGGAGAAGGGAACAAAAATTATAAAATAAATTAGTTGTGTGACGGGAAAGGCCATATACAAAATATTTATCAGACACTATTATTTATCTGTTGTAATTAATGTCATAGAAATATGTATGAATAATTGCATAAAACTGTAATTAAATGTTCTGAAACAAAATGTATATAAATGATCAAATGAAAAATCTAAATGATCTGTAAACTTTCCCTCAATTTTTTTTTTGAAGGAAAAAAGGCAGATCTGGATTGAAATCAGTAGGAAATAATTTGATTGTAAATTTTGACAACCAAGTTTTACCCTGTGTTTTTCTTTCCCTGGTTTTTATTGCTCTCTCTCTTTCTTCCCATCCCTGGGAACTCTCCAGATGATTCCAGAGGTCAAAGCAATAATTGCTCTGGGCTTAAATTGGCTCACAGAAGAAAAAGAACATTATTTTTTTTAGCTTTTTATTGAAGATATTTAATAGTTTTTATTCTTTTAAAGTGGACTTTCTATAAAAACATTTTTGTATGTCTAAGTATGATATCCCAGACTTCAATTCTTCACAAAGTTAGTTTAATATATTTCTTCTTTTTTTTAATTAATGTTAATGAACATTTACAGAGATTTTGGATTTCCATCCATTCATTGTTGTATTTTTCTCCCTGCCCAGCCCTCTCCCACTCCAGTTTGCTTCTCTCTTTGAAAAGTAAAAAAAATTATTTCATTGGTATACAATTGACCCACACACCCCCACGGCCCGAATACACTCCACTATGCAATCTAAATTCTGCACTCTTATGATAACCATAATACCCGATCATATATAGCTTTTAAACTGTTCTCTCCCTCATCTGTTTCAATGCAGTATACTTAATTTATCCAGTTTTTCTCAGTCCTACCCCAACCCTGATGCCAGTCCCATTCTACAACAGTGGCACCATCCAGTATTTGTCATTTTGTGACTGAGATATTTCACTAAGCATAATGTCCTCCAGCATCACCCATTTAGAAGAATATTGCATGAGTTCCTTGTCTTTCAATACAGTATAGTATTTCATTGTGTGAATATACCACAGCTTCTCTATCCATTCGTTTGTTGATGGGCACTTGGGTTGTTTTCAACTCCTTGCTATTGTGAACAAAGCTGCAATAAACATGGGTGTGCATATATCTGCTTGGATGTTATTTATAGTCTCTTTAGGGAATATTCCCAGTAGTGGAGTTGCTGGGTCAAATGGTATCTCTATTAGCAACTTTTTGAGAGAACGCCACACCATTTTCCACAGAGATTGCACCATTTTACACTTCCACCAACATTGAATAAGGGTTCAAATTTCTCCACAACCTCGTCAGCATTTGTTGCCCGCTGTTACGTTAAATTTTTCTATTCTGACTGGGGTGAGATGATATCTCATAGCTGTTTTGATTTGCATCTTTCTTAGAGCTAGGGATTTTGAACATTCCTTCATGTGCTTGTTGGCCATCTGAATGTCTTCTCTGGTGAAGTGTCTGTTCAAATCCTGTGCCCATTTTCCAATTGGATTATTTACCTTTATCTTGTTGTGGTGCTCAAGTATTTTAT